CCAAATATGTATGCAAAAGCTGTTTTTGACGAAACACGCGAAATCTCTGCCTCTCTCTCTCTCTCTCTCTCTCTCTCTCTCTCTCTCTCTCGCTCTCTCTCTCTCTCTCTCTCTCGATGTCCCTCGCACCTCTTCTCCATACATATAGCCAAAAAAAAGTCGGAGTTCGAAAATGAAATCTAATTAACGCCATACATAATCAGTGGCCATATTTTATTGGTTAGGAAAATAAAGTGCCACCTGCCCATAAATACCCACCTAATACATAAGAAATTGAAGCAAATTTACAAAACAAAAAACCGACTATTTTTCATATAGGAATGGCTAACTAACAGGAGATCCGGAAAAGATATTTTTGAAAGACTGTTGCTCATGTGGCAACAGATAGTAGCAGATAGTGCTAGCAACATAGCCAGCACCGACACATACTCGTCGCACTTGTTACAAAAACACATTTAATGTATCAATAACCAGCCGTGACGGACATAAAGATTTATACACGACTGAATGTTTACGCACGCACCTCTTAGTTAGAATATAATTTTAATTAAACAAATACGAAAATTATGTTCGGTCGTGATCTGACCCGAGCCTGAAGAAAAGAAAAAAAATTAAATTTTCATCCTATATAATAATGAGTGGGCGCGGCAGATTTTTTCTATTTTAAGGATAAAAGTGAAAATTTGTTGTACTTTACGAGTAAGATAATGTAAGGGGAAAACGCGGAAAGCAAAGGTGTTCACATCTTTTGTTATATAGATGAGTAGGCGTTTTAGTTGCGTATCCTTTAGAAAGTTTGGCTTATTTTCAAATTCTTTTGATAGATATCATCAATTTTGCGAATACCAGAATCTTGACCACAGATACTACTCAGTTGCGTAAACGGACAGATGAACAGAAAACGACCGGGCGTGCTTAGATGCATGCCGAATGTGAAACTGTTCAGGTATTGATATACTTTATGAGATTTTTAAGAGTGACTTCTGTACTTTATATACGCTATAAAATTGAATAGATGAGGCCGATTTTTTCCGTATCTGTACAAGGTACTAGAGCATCATCCATAGAATATGTGGTCAAATTTTTATCAATTTATTTGCTGTAATTTATGAGTAACGAACAAAAAAAAAATTTTTTTATTTCAACAAAGATGTGTTGAATTTACACAACACTGTAGGCGTGTGCGCTTCGACCGATTTGACCCATTTTCAATACGAATCGGCCTACAAGAACTTTCAACATTTCTGCTAAATTTCAGGCCGACAGCTTCATTTTTGCGGTAAAGAGAATGCTTACAATAGACATTACACAGACGGACAGACGGACATGCTTAAATCGATTTAAAGTTTGACGCCAAATAATCAAAAATATATAGACTTTGTAGGATTTCTGAGGCTTCCTTTCGGGCGTTGCAAACGTTTTGACATAATAAATATACCCTTCATCCTGAGTAGAATAAAGAGTAGATTTAATGTAAAACATATATATATATACAAAACATTTTGCGGAAACGTGAGCTCGACTAATTACAAAATACGTAATACTATGTAAAAAAAATGTGTTGTCGAAATTAAACAATTGCTGCAGTACACACAAACTACTATAGCAATGGTTCGCAACATGTCGAAATATATTCACAGAAGTATAGAGTAATGGAGAGCAAATAAACAAATTAATAATTGTGGGGGAACCTGTAGACCGATGTAACTAATTTCTACCGCATATCTACGACTAGAGTTAACAAAAAAAAAAAAAAGAATTTGAATTGAACATTTCTTTCTCAAGCTCGTTCATAGTCGGGCGAGATGCGTTTGCTTTGCAATCTGCAAAGGGTTGTCAAAATAAATATACATATATATTGTATATAGCAGTTGCTTGAAAAATTTAACAGAGGATAAAATTTTCCATAGCGTGATATTAGAAATCAACTGAATAAGGAGCATAGGAAAAACTGACTGACTGACTGACTACAAAGAAAACGAAAACAATGCAATACGTAACTTGTTTAAATATGAATGGATTGTTAAATGTTTATGCATATATACAAGCAAACATATACAAATATTTTTAATTAACATAAAGAAAAGTTAAAATAAGTTGACATATATTTTGTAGAACGGAATGACATTGACAATGGATTGCAGAGAGAAATGTAGTGAAAGAGTTCTGGGATTGTCTTTTAATTCTTTTGTTTCTTAATTTCTTCTTTTTTTTTTTCTATGATTTTTAGCCACAATTTGCATGAGTTTTTATCAAGGACAACTATTCAAGTTCGTTTTCAAAGCCGACTTTAACGACTATATGTAATCAACAAATGACTTCCCTAAGAAACTTGCTTTCCAAGTTAGCACCATTTCTATTTTTATTGCTTCATCTATCGCTCATAGTCATAAGCGAAAATAATGCGAATTAGTAAAATCCCGCGGACTTATGGTATTCCAACAATCAATAATCATAGTAACGCTGCACCTTCTCTTTTATTACTTATATGGAAAATAAATTAGATTCTCTTCATTTAGATCTAAAAAAGGTTAAGAAGATAGATAGACAGAGAGAACCGCATCTCATTATGGACTTTGATCATCTCTTACTTAATATTTCTTAACACAGGATGCGTTCAACTTCTTTAGTCGTTAGTTGGAACTAATTAATTGCTTCATAATTAAAAAACCCTATTACCCTCGAACTTAAATTGTCACTGTATTTGAAGCCATCTCGAGCTGATTGCGGTTAAAAAGCAAAAAAAAAAAAAAAAAAAAAGATCTTACAACAAGTCTACTAGAAGACAACTACAATAATTATAGGCATCTATGCGGAGTCCATTTTGATAGAGATTCTATAAATCCGATAGGTGCTTAAGCAATTCTTGGTTGCGAATTTGACCTCAATGTAAAGAAATGACGACAGATATAAAGCTACAAGTATAAATCTCCCGTAACAAGAAGAGCATCTTTCAAGTCAAGATTCGCAACAAATGCGAATCATAAAACGTAATCTCAGACGAATGTGTAAGTGAATAATTGTGCTAGCACATCCTATTTCAGTGCTTCTATCGTCGCCTTAACCGTCGTTTGGCCAAGACAGGACCGAACGTTGAAAAATGAACGAGTCAACGAGTTCCTTTAGTCGGTCCGTGCATTATGTTTGAATAATTCCAGGTACACTACATTCCGCTGATCCAAGTAAATATAGAGCATAAGCTCAAAGCCCGTACTATTCCGTAGAGATATTCGGAACGAGATGACTCAAGTTTACCGATACATTAGCGCCGTCAACTTCATTGGAATAACTTGACTTCGACATGTCAGATTACAGTAGACGTTGAACGGAACACCTGTGAGGGATGTAATCTTCCAACTGAGGCAACAAACGGTGGCACCGCTAGAATGCATTAGTTTGAGAAAGTCCTGTTTACACCATATTGTCCCAAGATGATGAAAATTCGAAAAGGCGAGATATCAATAAACAATTTATTTATTATATACCTTTCAATATCAAAAAGAATTTGTGTATGAAAAAATGTTTTTTTTTTTTCCTTTTTTGTCAACAAAGAAATAATTTAAATTTTCATATTGCTTGTGCTTTAGCTAATCTAACGGAATATTTGCCCTTCTAGCGTATGCCCATCTATAAATATTATAGTGTTCATTCAATGTTGTCGCGTCCAATGTACTTTTTTTCCTTTTGTTGTTTTCATTGCCGGTTTTAAAAATTTAGTTATGTGCTTGCGGTTACCATTTTTCATACCCATAACCGAAAGATGGACGATATGTTTACTTTGTCAGAACGTTTGCAACGATCAGAAGGATGCTTCGCAGACCCTACAAAGTATATATATATATATATATATATTCTCGATCTGCGTTAAATTCTAAATCAATTTAAGTATGTCCGATGGTCCGTTGTAAACATTTTCCTGGCTGCAAGAATCGACTTCAAATTTAGCTGAAATGAAAATGAGCCAAATCGGTCGAAGGACACGTCCACAGTCCTATGCAAATTGAGAGCAACTCCATTTATGAAAAACAATAAAAAATTCGGTTTTTGGTCATTGCTCATAAACTACAGCAAATAAATCTATCAAAATTTAACCAAAATTCTATACGTCATGCTATAGTATCTCTAAAAAAATGGAAAAAGTCGGCCACGCCTATTCCATTTTATAGTGTGCAACAATATGAAGCATTGTCAAGAATTTTGTAATGCACAAAAGAAAACTTCAAAGCCGCTATAAAATATAAAAATTCTTGGCCAGTTTCAAATACAGAATGCACCTAAGCATGTCTGTCCATTCGTCGGCCCGTCAGTCCGTCTGCGCAACTATATATTACACCAAAGAATTGGAAAATTACTCAAACTTTTCAAAGAACACGCCCACAACGCCTACACGTCTATATAATAAAATCATTGAAGACAATTGCTTTCCCCATTTTCTTCTTACGACTCATATAGTACAACACTTTTTTTTATTCTAAAAATAGAAAACATCAACAGCGCCCCCTCAGCACACTACACAATATGAAAATTTAGTCCTTTTATTTATTTATTTTTTTTTGCTTTTTTAGGATAACGGTGACGAGTATAAACGATTCGGTCACGACCGAATACAATTTTCTTATTTGGTTTTTTTTTTTTGTTTTTTTGTTTTTCTTTTTTTATTATTTTATGAACTAGTTTTAGTTTCATGGCTCGCTTACTTGTTTACTCTTGTTCATTCAGTGCAATCGCTTTCAATTACATATGAACGAACACACATAACATAAAACTTTTGGTTTTAGAACTAAAATTACAAAAAAAAAGTATATTGTAGATAAAAAAAAAAATAAATAAAAATATGACGTTTTCATGATGTTTGCGTTTCATACAAAGGTTTATTTAACTGAAAACAAAAACGAAAACGTTTTATTAGATTAGAAATTAAATATTACATTCAACTGAACATTCAATAAAAGAAAACTTTATAATAAAAATTTTACTTTATTTACTTATCCCATTTGCAGTTTCCTGCAATGCGTGCTTTATCCATATCATCAGCCGATGCATTCATATTGGTCTATGACGTTACCGATGCCACCACATTTGATGAGGTCCGTATGATACGCGATCAAATTCATGAGACTAAAGGTACAACAGCGGTTCCCATTGTAGTAGTGGGAAATAAAATCGATTTACTTTTGGAAAATGAAGATTTAAGAGAGGTGAGCTGCCAGATATATATGCTAAACAATTTTAAAAAAAAATAAAAAAAAAAAAAAAAAACTTTTTATACAAAGCACAAGCAACGGAAATTTTATATTTACACCGATCACCGAAGGATGGGGGACATATTCATTGTCCGTCTGTCCGTCTGTGTGACGTGTACCTCAAGTATATAATAATTTCTTGGACAATTTGAAATTTGAAGTGTATCTAAGCATGTCAGTTCTTTCGCCTGTCCATCTGACCGTCTGCGTAACTGTGTAATATCCGTGGTAAACCTAGTCTCGTTCGCAACTATGAAGATGTCGTCTACAAACTTGCAAAAGAATTTGAAAATGATCCAAACTTTTTAAAGAAACCCCGCCAACGTCTAAGCGACCAAAATTGAAAAAACCTTTGGTCTCCGTGTGCAACAGATACACGAGATAAATTTCCACAAGATTAAAAAAAATCAACCATCGCCCACCCAATACTATGTAGTATCGAAATTTACTCCTTTTCCTTTTGTTTAAATTTTTTTTAGAACGGTAATGGGTATGAAAGATTCGGTCACAACCGAATATAATTTTTTTACTTGTTTCATTTAAAATAGAAGAGAATAGTAGCCCCTATAAAAGATTCCTCATATAAAGGCTGCCTTACTGCGCGGTTGAAGGCAGCAAGCAAACGCTTCATATCTTATTCAATAACTGATTTGCTTTGTTTTAAAATTTTATGCTGTCATAAAAAGATTTAATAATAAAATGAGTCAAACACACGACTATGCCCGCACTTACAACACAACAGATGTAAAAGTTAAAAAATGAAAACGAAATTCATAAAAGAATTAATTTAATTAAAAGTTTTTTCCATAAAATCGAATCACGTAAAAAGCACAAGCCCAAGCACAAGCACAAGCATTAAATCCATATTCGCCCACCATCTAAACTATCTGTATACAGATGACAATTTATGTATTCAAACTCATATATCTTTAGGAATATGACATGCATAGCGTCAGTGAATATATATGGCACTCATTGTCAAGCCGGGTTGATTAGCACTTGATTGACAAGGCGAAGGCACATTTTATAGGCAGGCGGTATGTCTTCGTCTTTACCGTTTAGTGAGGATAAAGATCTATTTAACATCGCTCCCCCTCTATGAGTCAGACATTTAAATGCAACGCAACTCTATACTGTGCACATAAATTCTATCGCTGCGATTTCACATTTTCTGAAGCGTCGAAAATTATACTTATGGCGAGATCATCAAAGATCAAGGACGGAGAAAGTTTAATTTTAAACCGATTTCATCAAACACGACATATATCTCGCCATGGGCTTGCTTAATTGCTAAGGCAATTTAGCTCAACATTATCTTAACTGTATTTTCGAAGCAAAGCATAAAGACAATCAATTATCTCTTCAGTTGCTGCAGTTGTCGGATATGCGCAAGCTATCGCCCCGTTCTATAGTTCCATTCGCCTATATATTTACTAGATTTCCGGATTTTCAATTGTGTCCGGCGTCATTCTTTCCTTTCCCTAAGCTTGTCTATCTGTCCGTCCATCTATCTTTTCGTCTTGTGTTCAACCTGCACGTTGCAATTTTTGATAATATTTTGATCAAATTCCGCATATTGACGGGCCTTCGTCCAAGGACAAGTGCTACTGAAAATAGCTCGGATCGGATCGCTTTTTTGACTCCTTCCCATAAAACCGCTTATTTCGAATATTCGTCATATCCAGGTAACTGTGTATGTTGCAGGGTCTGGGGCATGGTCCCATGGTGGACTGCGATTCACTATAATGCTTTCAGTGTTTTCATTTAGTTAGATGCTTGAACATCTTTGTTATATTGTGGATGAATTTATTCAATTTTCGAATACATTTGTACGCTTGAATTAAGCAAAGTGTAGGTTAGATGTAATTTGAAGACAAATATTTTTATTTTTATGCATTCCATCTAAATGTGGATAGTTTTAAAACTCACATTAACAACACTTTACTTCTCCTGTATTCGTAGCACAAAGTCATCCAAAAGGACAAAAAACCCCCCCTCCCAAAAAAAAAACGCCTAAAAAGATACTTTCTTTTTTCGTCTTAACATCTGTGATTACAATTTGTGTAACATATTGCGATTGCCACAAATTCGTGACATATATATATATATATATATATATATATTTGATTTTTGCAATCTTTACGAAATATTTTAGGACACAATTAATATAATAGCGAAAATTTACTGTTATTAACCGTTTGAGTACAACAAATTTAGAAAAGTTAAATAGTAAATCGAGATTAATTTTTCACTTACTTTGTGCGTTGCTTCGTCTAATCATTTTAAAATACGCAACTAATTAATAATGTAAAGAATTATTAACTGAAGAATATGTCCGATCACTTCGCAAACTGCAATAGAAGTGGCGGAGCGATGAAAAAAACCGGTGAATCTTGCCGCTATGTGATTCTTCGACAGTGTTTTTGTCAAAACCATCTGGAACTCAAACGGTTAAAGCACAATTGCAAAATATATAGTTTACCCCTTGGCACTCCTACGTCAACGGTGTGTTGGGATTGTGTTTCTTGGATCAACTTCTATGTCGACATAGAGTGGACATTAAGCTATTTGAAATTCTTATTTAAAGAGTTAATGATAGGAATAAAAAAAAAAAGGGAAAAAAAATTAAGTAAAAGTGCAAAGGTTTAAAAAAAAAGGAAAAAACTATTAAATATCTCGATTTTCCTATAAACAGACTTTGTCCACTTTGAGAATTAACGGCACATATTTCGCTCAAGACCATGTAAATTTGTTTAATTTTTTTTTTTTTTTTTTTTTTCTCCACAAATACACATATTAAGAGTTGACAGCAACCACATGTTGATTTGGTTAATTCCGTAAGGGAATGTAAGCATTTTATTGTGCTTAGCACAGACAAAAGGTGCTTGCATATATTTTGATCAGGGACATCTATTAGTGCAAATAATAAAATAATGCGAATTATCAATGTACACACGATGATGATAATGATGATTTTGACCTTCCACTACATCAAATAATTGTTTTCCAGTTAGTATTATTGACTTATTCAGTGAACGGTGAAAATTGCATTCTCGACATTCATTATTTTTATTGTTTGATTCGAAGAAGTCTGCTGTCGAAGTTCATCAAACATTTTTAAAAGCTTATGGTAATGCTGTCCCATCATATTCCAATTGTCGATTTGGCTTTCAATGGTTCAAAAGTGATGATTTTGATGCCAATGACATGGAAAGGACTAAAGGACCAAAAAAAGTTGGAAGACAATGGATTTCGCAAATCCAAGTAATACTCCCAAATAACGTTGGAACAGCGTAGCGATTGAAGAATAAACTGTTGTTAGACGTTGTTGTTGTTGTCGCGATGGGATAAATCCAATTTGAATGACAAGCGCCTACCCTACGAATTGACTGCAAATGCCATGTCGAACCATTTCAACAACGCAATTTCAATGCTTACCACGCAAAAGAAAGCGAGTTTTCTGTGACCACATTGTGACTGGCGATGAAAAGTGAATTTGCTATGACAATCCCAAGCGCAAAAAGTCATAGGTTAATCCAGGAGATCCATCCGCATCGACACCGAAGCGGGATATTCATGGCGATAAGATTTTGCTGTGCGTAGGATGGGATCAGCAGCAGCAGGTGTTGTTGATTATGAACTACTAAGACCGGATGAAAGTGTTACCGTGGATATCTGTCCACAAGCCAATAGTGGTTAACAGACGCAAAGTGAGACACGTTACAAGAGTTGTCAAGGATACACTGTTGCAGCTCGAATGGATAATTCAGCATGGCTTGGCTGGCACGCGATTTCCAAATGATGAAGTAATATGAAAATTGATCGATCATTGTTCCGATATCGTTCTTTAGACTTCTTATCGCCATGTTTGCCAAAAACGATAAAGTTAATAAAGACTTTATTTGATCAAAATACATGCAAATACTTAGCATATAGGAAAGAATAAAATAAATAATGCGTTTTATTGCGGAATGAGACAATTCTCTAATGTGAGTTACTAACTTTATTTAAGCTTAGAGGATTGTAATAATGTTAAGGTTATTTTAAGGTTAAAAGACACAGATAAGTTAAAAGTTTTCCAATCATTATACTTTTTCTTTTGTGCTTTTTGCTATACGAGAAATGTTCTTTTCAAGGAATAGATTAAGAAAAGAAATATTTTTTAAAAAAAAGAAAAAAAAAAAAAAACAACATAAAAAGTTTTCACTTTAAATTATTTTAAGGTTGAATATGCGACAACAGAATCAGTGGTTACTGTCGATTGGGAGAATGGTTTCGTCGAAGTTTCAGCAGCACGTAACGAGAATATAACTCAAGTAAGTTACATAGTTAAATTATGAACAATATGAGTGTACTATTGCTTATAACATCATGATTATCTTTAATTTATTGATTTCATTTTGTATATGAATATATTTTGTAATAGGTATTCAAAGAATTATTATCGCAAGCGAAAATCACTTATAATTTAAGTCCTGCATTAAGGCGACGACGTCAATCTTTACCACAACAGATGGGTAATAATGGTGTTGGTACACCAACACATCATAATCCATCTAGTCAGGCCCAACATCAACATCATCATCATCATCATCAGCATTTACAGCATCAAGCACACACATCGTCAGCGATGGCAGCAGCAGCCGCCCAATCGCATACTCCCACCGCTGCACAATTGCAACATTTACAAAGAATACAAGAGCGCAGTTTGGGTGGCAAACGTAATTCATGTTCAATTTCCTAAAGATGTCAACTATCAAGAATCTACTAAGCACAACACAACAAAATACTATAATATAACATCAGTAACAATATTTACTATACAAGCCAAATATAAATATAAGTAAATAAAAAAAAAAAAAATAAAACAAAAAAAAGATTACACTCAACTATTATGTTATAATATATAGTAAATTTAAACTTGAACTTGAAATTTTTGTAGCAATTATTCCTATATCGCAAATATATAACTTGTATTATATTATATAACATAATGTATTCTGATGCAATTTAATGTGTACGAAAAGGTACGTACGTACCTTTCAGATATTTAAGTAAAAAAAAAAAAAAACAATTTTGAATATATATATATACAGTCTAGAGTTACGAAAATTTTCCATTTTTCTTACACTTTTTTTATTCTTACTACACAATAACACACACAATAACTAACTAATCCAAACAATATATTGGTAAATAAGAAAGTGGTAAAAGTTCGAAGACGACGAAGACGAATCTTAAATACCAATTACCTTAAATTTCTTTTCCCTCTTCTCTTCTCATCTCTTCTCTTCCCCTCTATTTTCTTTTTTTTTTGTCGTTTCTCCTTTCTTAATTACGGGTAAAAAATGAAAAGGCCTTTTCCATTGAAATTTTATAACGCTTTATTAGATGTTTAAACCTAATATTAAACGCACAATATTTGCGAGGAAGGATGTACAGTTTGTCTTGACTCGGCTTACTTGGCCCCTTTATAATTCGGACGACTGAAACTAAATTAAAAACATATTTGTTAAAGTTAATTTTTTTTTTTTTTGGTGTTGTTGTTGTATTATTATTAACTCTCGCCAGGAATGTAATCACGAACTTATAAGCGGCAATATCATTTTACATTCTCGCTTGTATGTACGTCTACAGATTGCAATTATAAAATCCTTATATATCTTTTATCGTTTGATGGTGCGTGCACAACTGATATAAATCATGCAAAAATTATCTTTTGAAGATAATGCTATAGTCTCTGTTTCTCTTTCTCTCCCTCTCTCTCTTTTATACAGGTTTCAATTATATAATTAATATAGTCTACGTTTATTATTATATTATAGGATAACTACTTATGATATATACAAAACTAAATACATAAATAATATATATATATATATATATATATATATATATATATGTATAAATGTCAGTAGTAAAGATATCCCTTAGAGAAAACTCACCAAATTCAATTGCATTTAATTTTTTTATTATTCCAAAGTAATTTTTATCAGTTTATTTTGAAGCTCTTAGGATTTTATATAAAAAAAAAAAATTAAATCAAAAAAACAAAAATAAAAAGTAAAAAAAAAAAAATTGCAATAGAAAGTGAAAAGAATTTTAATCAAAGAAAAATTTTCTTTTCTCAATTTTGAAGTCCCCAAATTTACATGTGTCGACTTACCCTTCCCACGAACCCTACGTGCTATTTTTCTAATACTCTTTTCTTATCATTTAAATGTGATAATCCAATCCATTGGCCAAATCTAAAAAACATGTATGCTCCTAAAAGCAAAACCATAATCTGAAGTTCGCATAAGTCATCAAAAAAAAAAAAAAAAAAAAATGTAGTAAATTAAAAAATTTAAATAT